CCTGCAATCGGTTGATCCACGTTCTCCCTCTGTCGTCCACCCTCTTCCGCGCTCGATCGTCTTGCCCTAGCGTCCGTTTCAACTCTGTTCCATCCAATCCATTGTGCACGACCATCCACTTCATCTCTCAGCCGTTGGTCCTCTTCCGCACTCGATCTTCGAGCTCTAGCATTCGTTTCGCCTCTGCCCCACGCAAACGGTTCCGTCCGCACATCGACGTTTTCTCTCTGTCGTTGATCCCTATCCACACTCGATCTCCTAGTTCTAGCGTCCGTTTCACCTCTGCTCCATCGTGCTCTACCATCAACATCATCTCTCTCTCGACCCTCTTCCTCACTCAATCTTCTTGCTCTAGCGGCCGTTTCACCTGTGCTCCACCCGCCTGATTGCCACCGTTGTTCTAAGTCACCTCCCTGTGGTCGATCCTCTTCCACACTCGATCTTCTCGCTCTGCTTTCTGCATCGTCCCTGCCCCACCGCATCCCACTCTCCTTTTCTACGTAAGGTCTGCTACGAAGATTCTCATCCACATTCTGCCTTCTTCCCCTCTCATCCGTTTTGTCTCTGCTCCATCCACTATAGTGTCCCTGTCCTTCGGCATAACTTTTACTTCTTTCTCTACCTAGTAGCAAATCCTCATAGCTCTCCTGGCTCAAGCTGATCCTTCGCTTTTCCACGTCACTTGGCCTTCTCACTCCCCTCTCATCATCGTCGCGCCACTTCCTAGCCTCTCTTCCTTGTTCATCCTCATCGCCCCATCTACTTCCTATTCTCCCTCTTGCTTCTTCGTTCCACCTTCTACTTCCTTTCCCCCTCTCTTCGTTATCGTTTTCTCTGCTTGTACTTCTCTTTCGTTCCTCCTCATCGACTCTTGCCCTTGTTCGTCTTCGCTCTTCAGTGATATCTCTATGATTTCTCTCTCGCTCGTCTTCATCGCTCCCCCTTTTCGTTTCTCTTACTCTTTCACCTACATTTCCTCTCTCTCCCTCCCTATATCGTTCATCCCGTTGGTTCTTTATTAGAGTTCTTCTTCGAAACTCTTCGTCCCTTACTCGTCCAATTCTTTCATTTTCTTCATCACTCCACTCACTTACTCCCCTTCCCCTCTCTTCGTCACGTCGTCCCCCTTCAGTTCTTCGCACTCCGTCGTTCAATCTTCTGTGCCTTCGTTCCCCATTGTCATCGTCGTCGCTCCACCGCGGTGTAATATCTGTCGTTCCTCTACTTCTTTCTCGATCTCCGACCGTACTGCTCAGGCTCCTTTGTCTTCCTTCACCAGTTTTCTTTCTCTCTTCCGTATGATCCTCACCTTCGCTCCTTCTTCTTCCCCCCCTTTTCATGAAATGTTTGCTTTTTATCCCTCCTCGTTCCTCTTCAGAGCTCTCCTCTCGATCTTCGTCAGATTTTCTCTCTGTGCGTTTCGCCACTTCTATTATGATTTCTACTCGCCCATTGTCACTCCTCCTCCTCCCTCGTCTTTCGTCTTTTTCCTCAGAGTCATTTCTCCTCCGGGACCCGCTACTTCGTTCATCACTTTCTCTTCGTTGCTGTCTTTCTTCTCTCCGATTGTCCACGCTCTTGCTGCGCGATCTCTCGCTTCGTTCTTCGCCTTCGATTTTTCTCCGATTTTTGTCTTCTTTACGTTCTTCCTTGATTATCATCCGGAAATTCTTATCTCGTGCTTCACTCTCACTCTTTTTCTTCTTATCCCTCTCTTCTCGTTTCTCTTTCTCACTCCTTGCACGTGCTGATTCCTCTCTTTCGATTTTCGTTTTTGTACTTTCTCCGCGTTTCACGTAGGTGCTCTTTCTCCGGGTTGCACTTTCCAGTTCATCTGCATCCCTCCTACGTTCTCGTATTTCGTCATTTTTTCTTCTATCCTCACCTCTTCTTTTATCAGCATCTCTCCGTTTCACACTTTCTTTTCCTTTTGGTTCGTCTTCGTCACTACTTTTTGTTTTTTCACTTCGCTCGTCATCTTCATAACTTTTCCGCACTTTCCTTTCATCGTAGTTCCGTTTCTTTGTGCTTCCTTCATCCGCACTTTTCCTCCTTATTTCTCTTTTCTGATCCTTCTTTGTTTCACGATACTTCGATCCCTCAGACCCTTCACTACTCTTGATTTCTTCTTCCAAGAGTTCCTCCTCACTCAAAATCCTCGTCCTTCCTATTTTTTTCTCTTCTACTTTCTTCTGTATGTGATCATCACTCATTTCCCCCTCCGTTCACAGTCTTTGATTCCTACTCGTTCTCCTTAATTCTACACTTCCGACACGATCTCGCACACTTTAACATAATTATCTCCGAATTGTACACTTTTTGCTTCAAATTATCGTTTCCATTCCTATCATCTTAATACATACCGCTCTTTATCGCGTACATTTCTCATACATCATCTCTCTTCACCGACCATCTCCGTCCTCGATGTGACGTTCTTCCAAGCGAGTAAGTGTTGCACCTTCTTCTTGTTATCCTAATATTTATTTGCTAAGAAATTACCTCTCCTGTTACGCTTCCGATAAGGGACCCAATATGAAATTGAGTTTGTACAATTTGTTTATGAAAACATCGCGAAGTGGATAAAAGTGAGCACTGCATTTCATTTGTTAAATTTGCAGTTGTTATTCTGTTGCTATGCTCTATTGCAAATACGTTTGGCTAGAGACCAACAAAGACTAGAGAGGGTAGGGAACCTATGAATTAATTAAATTAAATCTATACCTTACGTTTATAAGATAAAGCTGGATATTTTATTGTATGCTAGAAAATCTATTTGGAATAGAAGCATGGAATAGAGGCATGGAATAGAAGAAGAAAGTATTTTTCTTTCACAAGAACCGTAGTATTCCGGGCATGAAGAAGAAGAAGAAGAAGAAGAAGAAACAAACAGAATATTGCACAACATGTAAGTAAAGTACAAATTGTATTCGTTTGCGAAAAACGATTTAAATATTTTGAAATGATACCATGTTAATTTTCTCTTTTGATTCTAACCACTAAAACCAAATGTAAAATGACTGACTGAATCTCATTTAAAATATATTCATCACACATCACGCACGATTTACTCGAGATCGACCACCGCCTTCTGAATATTCTCAAAACAAGTCTAGAAAATATCTGTAGAAGGCAAAACAGAATAACTATGAGTATCAATAAAGTAACCTGTAAACAAATCACTCTCAAAACTAGTGGTGTCACAACAGCCACAAAAACTTTCGCTCATTCGAATTCCAACGCGTGCGCAATATAATTTGGCACTGGAATTCCATGAAATATCAAATGCTAAAATATACATGCAAACATGAACAAGTAACAAAAAGCCAAACATGTACAATACAGGGTAATAATTGACAAAACATGTACAAAGGTTAGTTTAGTATATTTTTTGTTTTATGATTTTCATAAGCTTGAACAATTAATTTTTTTCCGAAATATTACTCAGTTAATTTAAATGCAGAAAATACTTGTTACGTCACAAGACGTCATTTTAAAGATAAAATTTTAGCCAATCAGAGACTCATCAGTGAAATTAAAGACTTTCAAGTCTCTTATCGCACAGAGATGAACGTGTCGTCGGCCAAGTCGTTTCAATCTGTAATTCAAATTGCTTCATTGCATGCCCAATTTCGCAAAACTACTTATATTCTGCAAACATTATACATGAACTTACTTAAACATCTATATTGAAAGAACAGATTTTATTGTGAAAAAATGTTTCTTCAATATTGTAGTAGTAAGAAGAGAGCGAACAAATTTTAATATTTTGCAATTTTCGAACATTCAGGTCACTCAACCAAAATTGATCACTGCCATATTTACAAACGTACTTTGCTATATTTCAAGAAAAAATTGGAGCAATTTTCTTAAAATTTTTAAATGGCGTTGGAGCTTCAGGTAAAGTACCTCCAAAACTCAAAATATCCCTTCAAATTCAAGGGACCGCGACATTACCCAAACTGATCGAGGAATATCAGTCTTGATGAAAATCTTGCCAACTGTTTAGCCCCTAGAGTTGTTCACAGAGAGCTGGACGTACATACGTTTTGCCGTAAACAACTTTTTTCATATCAAGGACTCACAAAATATAGATTCTGACTACACAACGGATTAGAGGAAGTGATTTATTACATAATGGAGTAGAAATTATTCACTTTTTCGGATTCAGGGACTCGCAAAACGAGTGGAAAAATCAGCATTTTCCGTTGCATCATTCCAATACCTTCTCTATACTACGTAAGTATTCGAAAAAAACACAGAACTTACCTTAAAATATTTTTCTCAAACCGTGGCATTTTATTCAGTTCTGTATTAAGGATTATATTTTCGTAATTTTAATAATCACTTTCAACAAATATTTTCCAAATGTGTCTCATTAAAATGTCAGGAAATAAATATTTCTTAAAAAACGAGAACAAGAATTTGTCCTCGAAGATATAACATTCATTTACGTACTTTATTTGGCGACAGTTTAACTCCTGAAGCACAGACGCACCTGAAGCTCTGAAGAAAGTGAACTGCTCCGAACCACCCTGCCATCCAGTCGTTCTCCACCTGGCTGTTTAAAAATGACGAAGCTTGTCGCTGGCAGCGCGCTTCAAACAAGTTGAAAATAAATTTAATTGCTTTTGCCGATCCGTGAAGTTGTAGCTTAACGATGGTCTTCGACGATGAGTTTAGGACATTTCCGTTTCTTTTCGCAGCCTTAACTCCTTTCGCAAAACAAACGGATGCAAAGTCGAACACGGTGCCTTCGATTTCATGCTGGCTTTAGGCGAAGAATTGGTTTGTACCGTAGAGTAGTGCACCATTAGAACGCACAGACTTCTGTGTAGTTGATGAACACTGAAATCTGAATTAAGCAACCAGAAACTTTTCCAATCCAGGATTAGTAAGGATTTAACTTACATATTAAGGAATACATATTTAAGGAACTTAGATATTCTGTAACAGATTGATAGTGTTTTACGAAATGTTGGTTTGTAATGTACACAAGTTTTTGATAAAATTCATTTAATATATCCAAATTAACAGATACACAAATAGCATTAGAACATAAATATACATTCATATTTCACTAACATTACATTGGACGGAATCCGGTTGTACAAACATTTGAACGCACTTCTAATAAACCCGTTTATAAAATGAGGCGCGCTAAAATACTGCATTAAAATCTAGTTTGGAGAGAACTTACACAGTCCCTTCGAGCCTTCGGATTTCAGCACATGAAAATTGATTCAGGGAAGCTACAATCGTTGTGATACCATGAAACCGTGACATCTTAAAATTACATGAGCAACTTCGAGACGTATACATCCAGTCCTTATTTAGAATTATTATATGCTTAACTCCCCAGTCCATTAGAAAAGTATTTTACGCATTGAGAGCATCGACCAGCAAGTTAATGCAACTTGTCACAGAAGCTCCGAGTAGTCTGGAAAAGAGCGGAACGAACACACTACATTCGATGGCTCTTAAACTCTTTCTGAGGCACAAATAGCAACTAGAGCTAGAAAACTACTACTCGTTGCAATTTACTGATCTTTTTAAATGAATGAATCCCTGAGAAACGAAATTTGTGACAATTGCTATTAACGAAACAGCTGGTCGACGTTCCAGCAAGCTTTTCAAAAAATATGAGCCTTGTTCCTCAATGCCACCAATTGTCTCTCAACAATATTCTTGGTCTTTCAGTAAGAATTCGTAAACATGTTTATCAGGAAAGCTAGTTTAAACTCTTAATTCTCAAGGAATGTAAAGTTAGGCCCTTCAGAAATTTACAACTTGCAATAAAACGCTGTATTATATGGTGAAATTTGACTTTGTAGCATCGAAATTGTAGTAATACTTGTGAGAGTTGTAGGTGCAATTTGCAGAATTCTCTCTGAAAAATCCAAAGAAACACATGAATCCACCTCCACACTGGGTACTGTCATCTGAAAGATATTGTGGAGTGCTCGGCGGTTGGAAAGTCGTCGAAACCATCCAATGACTCTGGATCCAATGAATGCGGTGGACCATCCGGGAAATGTTGCAGCAGGATCTCCTTGGGCTGGAACTAAACAGCGAAAGAAATTTTGCAATACTTGGTACTGAAATGATTGCGATCACAAAAGAGATTAGGAATTGAAAAATAATATTTTGATTTTTTGCGGGCAAATGTCGATTATGTAATTACTACACATTTCTTTCATAATTTCAAACATTTAATTCAATATACGAGAACTAGTTTTTTACAGCTTTTGTTGTAAGGAAATGACAGGTTGAGAATATTATATGTTCAGACCAAAAGATATCCAAAACAGATGAAAAGTCATTCGTAGATTTATAAACTATCTATAAAAAATACATTTTGCAATTCAATACTGCAAGTATTTACAGCTTAACAATATTGCATTTTAAAAGATCTTAGGTTGTTTCATTAATTCACAAAGATATATCCTTTATCAATAAGAGCACCTGATAAAAAATTCAGTTGATAATGTACATTATTATTGAAATTTCTCAGGATAATAATTATTTTAAAAAATAAATTCCAAAATGCTTTTTTAATATTAGAACTAGAGATTTAATTATTTTTGGTTGGAATTTGCAGGCATCCGACGCACATGGAGCAGTTGTCTTAATACGTTCTTTAAGGACCGGTTTAAATTAGTAGTAAATGCCGCATGTGCCGTGCTGTGCCGTGCCGTGCCATGCCATCATTCTCGTGTTAACTTATTTCGAAGAAATTGTTTTCTTTTCTTGCAGGGCCTCTCAACTAGGTAAAGAGACATTAGTATTAACCAATTACTGGATAATCTTGTGCATTTTGATAATTTTGAGGAAATGAATCTATTCATTGTTGATGATGTGAGCAGATTTTGTCATTTTTAATTGGCTAAGGTTTATTTAAATTTAAAAAGTCACAGTTCAGGTAAATTCTAGTCGTACTACATGGTTTTATTAATTCAACGGCAATGTAAATATATTCTTTTAAAAGTGAAAAAATAAGGTTCTGCTATTATATAAAAGAGCAATTGTGGAATCTGATACAAACAATTAGAACCACGGATGAGATTACTCCCGAATTTCGTGCGAATATCTTTGAGTGACCAATAATCAAAAATAGCGTAGTTACAATACAAAATGGCACCACAGTACTTAAAATATTACAAAAATGCTTTAGAATGTACGAGTCTTTACAAGCTAGTTTTACATCCTTAAAATCAAAATACGAAACATGTGAACTGAAAGAAAATGGACCGTTGTGCATAGAAGTAAGATATTTAGTAGAAGTGTAACTGATTAATATTATTACAAATTATATTCAAAGAACTACTGGAAATTATTACCATGATGAATGGTTGTTTTACTTTATGGCTCATGCGAACTGCTTGATAATGACCGTTTCACTCGTAAAATTAAAACCAATCGTGTTTAAACTACACGTATAATAGAAATTAGAGATTTGCCGAAGAATGGAGGGCCAATTAAACAATTTGTACTTCACAAATATCCAAAACAAAACAACACAAAAATTGGTTCCCGAAACTGGAAGAACGTCCTTGACTCTTGCCGTGAATTTCCTTTACATCAAAAATCGGGTTCACATTAACGCAATGTTAATGTGGATTGAAAAGAAACTCGTTATCGTCTCTATACGACAGTTATCTTCACAAATGTCAGAGAAATAGTGAAAGTATTAACCGAATATCCAAGGACAATACGTTTGATGATGATGCCAGAATGTGCATTCAAACAATTCGTACCGTTGACTGCCTTGTTGACTCGGCTTGTCATTTCCCTCTCACAATTACTTTTCATGACTACCTTACATAATTCCCTACGTAAGAGATCAAGTGGCAACATGCAACTGTTTACATATTGCCTTCGTTACCATGATCCTCGCGATGCAGATAAGTTATGCAGTGAATATGGAACTCCGTATCGAAGGCAATAAGAAGCAATAATGTATGAGAAAAATATAGAGGTATATTATAATGATTATGCAGCGTAATTATTTGCCTGTAATGTAAACTATTCGCACTTTAATAAATTATGGCGATAAAAATAGTTACGAACCATGAAACATTAGTATTGTTCCATAAAAGCGGACAACTCATTTCATTCCCGCGCATTATTCAACGTCTGAGACGTCTTTTACCATTTTACTTTTACCGATAACAAATGCTGAAAGTGACGTTCATGGCTATAAATGATAAATTAGTAATTCCGGGCGCGTGAACTTCTAAGGACATTAGTTCCGTTTGTGTAGTGAATGTTCTAATGGCGGGTGGTGGCACTAATCTTCCCCCAGTGAACGACGAGATCCGGGATCAACCTACCCGTTAGGTTGCGGGGTTTTCCCAAAGAGGGACCTCCCACCAGCGGGGCGCCGCCCCAGCCGGGACAAGCTCTAAGTTCCCGATCGGTGAACCGGCATGTGTGGCCATGTAGTGCATGTTAGTGTGTGAGCGTAAGGGGTGAGGATAGGACAATGAGGAAGGTGAGATCGCGCGCGGTCCGTGGTCCGTTTGTGAGGGTACTGCTTCCGCATTCACCTGGAGTTGTTCGAAAACACCACGAAAACTATCGATCGGAGCAGCTGGCCGCTGGAACTCTGTTCCAGACAGCGGCTGGACTGTGCCTAGCTATCTAGCGAGTGTTTAAAAAACCCAGCCATTGTGAGGAGTGAGCGCCCTCAGCCGGTGGCGGCGCCTGGCGGCCTCACCTTGCGCGCGCGGGCGTCGTCCATGCTGAAGCCGTGGAAGAAGGCGGTGTCCCGCAGGGCGCGCGCGCTGCGCAGCCGGGCGCCCGGGTTCAGTTCGAGCAGGCGCTGCGCGAGCGCGCGCGCCGCCGCCGAGAACTCCCCCTCCCCCTCCTCCTCCTCCTCGCCCCCGCCCTCGCCCTCCGCGGCGGGCGGCGGCGGCAGCGGCGTCGGGAACTGCAACACGCACCACCACACACACCGTCAAAACAGGCAAGCAAATAAACACGAAATATACCAATCAAACACAAACATTACAATAGACTTCGTATATAGCTTCTCAAGAAATATCACGCATTTCAAATGTGCCTTTTCTGTAGGAGAATATTTTCCTCCGAGAGAAGCTGTTTATTTCGCGGCCAATGTCAGTGCTGTTGTGGGAAAGCTGATGTGGTGTTGTCGACATTATTCTTGGAAGATGGAAGAACATGTTGACGTTATTCTTGAGAAACAATCGAAGATGTATTTCTTTATTTCAACCATTGTATGACAATGTTTCACTCCAGACACACACCCTCTTGTCGACTATTTTTATAAAATTTTTACTGCAAGCATTATCATTTTCTGAACATATTTGTTCACTTAACTCAAAACTGACAATTTTCGAGATTTCGACAGATTTGGACAGTGCAAATAACAGCAGATCACCTAACTCTGTCTCTAATCTAATTTGACATGTTCCCCCTTGTGTGTCTAAATGCCAGTGGTGTGGAATAACAAAGAATCTAAAAGCATCCCTTCTGACTCATCTTCATCTTTCCGCCAAAATATCGCATTTCAGCAAAACGTAACCTCATCCCTAACACAAATCCCGGCTGTGTCCATGAACAGTCGATAAACAATTTTGAAGTGGCAGGTTGGCAAGGATGTTCGTCCAACGTAGCGCCGATACAGAGAAACTTATCAACGTAAATATGTAAAATATAAATTATACAGCAAATTATGTTATAATAACTTTTTACATATCGTTAAATCGGATCAATAGTAAGTATTTATTCGTACATTTTTCTCTATTTAAAGAAACATAAAGAAAAGAAACATAACATAAAGAGAAACATAACATTAAGAAAAAAATGCAAAAGTTTGAACGTGTAGTGAGTGAGGTACACTCCAAAATATTCAAGGTACAATTCAAATTCAAGTGGTTGCGACGTAAGCCAGATTAATGGTGGAATGTTATTGTTGGTGAAACTTCTGGGAGCAGTTTAGACGGCCATTCTGCTCTTCTTATTTGCGAATCCACTTTACGTCCGCTACTCATGTACGCTTGTCCAGTCTGGTTTAGCGTTGCCGCAACAACAATCAAACAAAAATTCAAATATTTCAATACCGTTTCTCCAAATTACCCCAACCACATAATTGAAATTATGAACTCCGGAGGGATTTGCGTAGCTGTTATTGAGCAATATATAATTAATGCCAAACACTCTTGTAAAGCGCTAATCTGCTAGGTAAGAAAAGGGTTCTGGTTTTCAGAACCGCAGTAAAAGCATATAAGCAACACACATCTTCATAAAGACCAAGCCGTAGAACCCACTCTAACCTATATTATCAAAATTTCTAATACAGACTTCCAAAATCTATCCACAGTTTCCGGTGCATTTCATATTTATCTGGGCAAACGACATTCCATAGAACCTCGTCTACGCAAACGATCCCGCTTGCACGTAACATAGCTGATATTAAATAATACAGTAAACACTCCTCCCATAAACAATCAACAATACGCATCCCTTTTAATATCCTTATGGCTAAGTTTTAAAGTGTAAATGAAGGTTTCCATAGCTACCTTTTTTGTTCATCATATTCATCTAAAAGCGTTTGCTTTTAAGAACCGAGAAGCCATATAGACTCGACTCTCAACAACTTTCTGCAACTAAACAAATGAATTAGGTGCTGGTGGCGTTTACAGACGGACGGACATACTTTTTTGGTACCAGGAACCCCCAAAATGGATATTTACGTCACTCTCTCCTTCGTAGTGTTTTGTAATATCACCTAATGTAATACTACGTGTACGAGAAAGTAAATATTTGAGGCTATTTAAAAAAAAACATTGGAAAATGACATTCGGACTCCACATAAAGTATCTCCAAAAATTGAAAGATTTGGGGCTACTGTTGTTCATGTAAATGGTGGACGACAAAACATTTTCTGTAGCGTGAGTCAACAAAATGTGGAGAAAAATCAACACTTTTCCTACAGCATTAAATAACTTTTTCTTAGATACAGAAATAGATACAGAAAGTAAAGCCTCTTAACCAATATTAGGAGCTACCAAAACATGTATGTCATCCAAAATCTCGAAA